GGCGGGGCTTTGGGAGCATGGCGAAATTCGCCATCACGCCATGGAAATATGTTTGTCTCTCATTTCTTCAATTATTGTGACATCGCCAAACAATTTCTGATGAGTGATCCTACTCTGACCCCTAATAGAATTGGACAGCTGAAGTTTGTGGGCGTGGCCTATTTTCTGAAATAGCGCCCCCTAGGACCATTAAAACTGTCAGCCCCAAGCCATGCTTTGACTGAGGATCACGAAATTTGGCACACTAATGTAGTGTCTCAGGGCCTACAAAAAAGTTTCTTGGAGCCAAGCGCAATGTTGCACAGGAGGTCGGCCATTTTGGTCCAAGTACTCGATTTAGTGGTTTTTGCACATGTTATTAGGAGAATGATGTCTCGTCGCCCTTTCCACCGATCACCTTCAAACTCCTGCTATATACTCTTAAGACATAGAGGAAAAAAATCAACCGTCGGATTTTAAATAAGTATAAAGGTGTGGGCGTGGCTAAGCCTCAAACTTTGACCAGTCGCCATTACGTTACTTGACTTAATAACTCCCATGTGCATGAGCAGATCAATTTCAAACTTTGTCTGTGTGATCATTGACCACATCTGAAGACAGTGACAATGTGGACAGCTGACATCACCTAAGCCCCGCCCCCTGACTACAGGAAGTCTACTGTTTTATGGTGAAATGCCCATATTTGTCCCCTCTAATTTAGTCAACATGACACTAAGGTTATGCACTGTCTTCATCATGTTGTAATGACCATTCAGATCTGATAGCTTTTAAGAAAGGGAGGGGCTTTGATGCCATGGCGATTTCTGGCATGACGCTGTGACCTTATGGTTGACTGTAACTTCCACAAACAGCCTCCGATTTGCCAGAGACATCACATCACATCACATCACATCACGAGAGTGGTAAAGATAGAGTATCTCTTAGTGGTGAGATGTGTAATGGTGGGCTCAGAGGGGATGCTGAGTCAGGGTGAGGTGCGGACGAGGAGGCCGTTCATGGTTTCTGGTGTCGGGGTGGTTGACTTTCTGTTCTGCCAGACATGCCCTGGTGACCCTGGCTGCCGGCCAGGATGGAGAAGCGCGGAGCTGTGTTTGGAGAGCGTCGGGGATGGAGCGGAGGGGGTGCGGAAGGAGGGCTAGCAGCTTCGCTGCGAGGGCCGAACGACGCTGCTTGCAGCTTTAATTATAGTTTATTTCTTAAATAATAATTAAAAAGTAAGAATAGATGATAAATGTTTTACAGTTTTAGTTTTCCTTTAGCGTAAAAGTTACTCTGTTAAATAGTTGAAAGTGCAAAGACCCATTGCGTCTGCTTGTTATGACAAGTATAAATTGTCACGAAAGGTGCAATATGTAAGAATGACATCCTGTGGTCAAATGTGGTTACTGCAGTATGTTTTTTTTTTCAATCAAAGAGCGACTATCTCACTCCCGTTTCATGACTTTTGCCAGTTATTGATCAGCTCCAGAAGATTCTAGTTGACAAGCAAACATGACTCATACACAGTAAGTTGATAAGTAGATAAATTCATTATCATATCTGGTGCTAGCACTTCTGGGTGTTTTACAGTAAGGTGCACTTACCACACTTATTATGGTAGTATTAGAGGAAGTGTGGTTGTTTGCCGTCTTGCTGTTATAGTTCTGAATGACTCATTCAAGGGAGAAAAATGTCATGGTTGACTCATTATTCACTTCACACATACATTTCACTGTTATATTGAGTTGTTGGTAGAAAAAGTAGCTTGAGATACTTTCAGAGCCGACTATTTGCTCCTAATTAACCGTTAGCATTGTTAGTTCAACAATAGTGTCTAGCATGCTTTACTGATATTAGAGTAAAAACTAAAGAGGTTGTGGCTTCTTAGGGGTCCAAGAAATTACTTCAGAGTCCAAGAAATAACCTCCCATTGACTGCCTTCACTTATTTTACCTGATGGTGTCCAATTACAAATGTCGGCACTGCAGCGTTAGCTTGACGCAAACAAAGCAACCTCTGGTTCACCAATTGTAAACAGTAACTGTGTCCCTCTATAGTTTTGTTGAAAGGATAAAAACTGACAACCTCCCAGCCGGCTGAGAAGGAAAGCTCTTTCAATGTAAACTTTCTTCCAGCATAATAGAGAAATTAGACTGTTTTGTGATTATTTCACTGTGAATTTTAAATAGTCATTAAATAGCTCTGATCAGTTTACTTTCAGGAACATAGAGGGACTGGTAAAATAACAGCTCCAGTAAAAATGAAAAAGTACAGCGAGTAACTGCTAACATTGGCATTTATTTTTGAAGATTATCAAGAAGAAGCTTCAGCCATTTGCTGCAGTTTACCGCAGTCCCACAGGGCTTATTTTTGTACAGTTCAAGTTTCTCTTTTGGTTTGTACTCAGATATTTTGATGGTTGACATCAGTACTTCAGGCCTCTCATTCTCCAGAAATGTGCAAGGGCTGAACAGAATTTCTCAGTGATTCATTATTTCCATGTAATGACTGGTGTCTGGCAGCGAAGCAGCTGAGTTTTATCTGAATAAAAGGGTCTCCGCCACTTTACTCCAGCTCTGAAGCTGCAGCCAATAGCGTGTCAGTAAATTACACGACATAAAAAAAAAGAAAGCCTATAAAGGAGGCATAAATTACATCCTCTCAGAAAACTGTGACAATTACGACTGCTTTCACTAATAGTGCACTAAAAGATGGAAGGTGTTCCAAATCCATTCGCTCCCTCAAATGATGGTGGGGATTGTAAACGTGATTTTCCCAGACACTTTAAAGGGAGACAGAGTGGTTCTGCTTCTGTTTGGAATCTTTCATAAAATCTCATTATTTTTTATTGAATACAGGTTCCACTTTAACACTGCCTCTAAAAGTCTGACAGAACACAGATTACTATTGGCACAAGGGAAAAGATGACTTAAACTACTTTTTTAAACATTATATTTAACTCTGCATCAGGGCCATTCAAAAGAAGAAAATAATCACTTACATATTAAAAAAAGGCGAGCAAAGACATGAAATATCCAAAATGCATTGTGTGAGCGGACATTCTTTTAGCACACACCATGCAGCTTGCATCTGAACAAAACCTGTTATAAATGTCACAGAAATCCCAGCAGTTTGGGTAAAAGGATAACCCTAACCCTTAACCCACATTTTTTATAAGATTCTGATGTTTTCAGGTGCAGCTGTTTGAGACTCTTATTTTGAAAGACTGAGGAAATTCTATAACTTGTGTTGTGAACTTTCTTTGCACTCAAGGAAATATTCCAGTTTATATGGTTTAGCCAGAAAAAACAAACTCTCAGTTATGATATTAATAAAAATAGAACAAATGCAGTTGGATTCAGATGACCAATGAGAATCTTTCCAAGGAAATTCCTGAAATAACTTCAATAACTTCAATTCGAAATTCCACAACTCACAGCATTTGAACTTTTTTCTTTAGATTTGACAACAATATTAATACGTCCTCCTTAGCATTTTATTTTGAGTGGCTTTATTTAAAAAATGGTGATTAAACAAGGCTTGTTTTTATTTATTAATTTTTAATTTGGTTTGACTGAAACAATGTGTGAATCTATCTCATTTTAAATATATTTAGTTTCTCCAAACAAGACATGTTCAAAGTGCTCCTTGAATATGGGTCATAATAATAGAAATCGCAAATTGTTTTAAGGATGGTATGTAAAATGCTATACAAATAGTTGGGTCTAAATATAGTTTACAGGTTTAATGATTTAGATTACGAGTTTACATTTCCATTTTCAATAAGACATTTTCACAAACACGCGAGCAAAAAATGCAAAAAAAAACATCTAAATATTGATGAACTTGAACCCTTTAACTGGCAGCTCAACTACTTGGTAAATGCACTGAACTTACACCCTAAAAACAAATTCTTAACTAAAAAAAATTGTAAAAATAGGGAGGTTTGTGTAAAACATTGAACTATATTACGTTCCATTATGACTACTTTAACATTATTACCTTAGAGGATATGTAAGAAGTGAGAATGTCATGCTGTGGCCTATTTTGCTTGGCAAAAAAAATCTCTTTCTAACTGTTGTTCTGTGAAATAACTTCTGGTTCACTCCTGTTTACTGGCTTTTGCTCTTTCAACAACTCAAAAGTGTTTTGCTTGCCTGTGTTGGATTACAAAGCTCAGCAAAGACATGGCAACCTCACAAACTCAGATTGTGTATAGTGAATACCATCGGTGTGACCAAGTCACTGCTTTTCAAGTCACAAGTAAGTCACAAGTCTTTCCAGTCAAGTCCAAATCAAAGGCAACCAAGTTGAAGTCGAGCCCAAAGTCAATGATCTGGAAGTCCAAGTCAAGTCCAAGTCCTTCACTTTGAATTTTCAAGTCATAATCAAGTCATCTTTCCAACTTCAATTTAATGACAATGACAATTAATACATTCCAGAAATAAAGCGTCTTAAAGCTTCATTTATTTGCTCAAAGAAACAGAAAGTGCAACTGAAACTGATTATTAACAAAGTGCTGCTGCATTTAGCGGTACAAAATCAAACCCAGAATGAAGAATGATCTATGATTTTTGTCCATGCTATGCCATTTTTGTGCTAAAATATCAAATATGCTCAAGTCATCATCAAGTCAACAGATGCAAGTCGATTAAAGTCGCAAGTCATTGGCGTTCAAGTCCGAGTCAAGTCGTAAGTCTTTATAGATTGTATCAAGTCAAGTCAGAAGTCATTAAAATAATGACTCGAGTACAAGTCATGTGACTCGAGTCCACACCTTTGTTGAATACGTCCCTCTTTAGGTTTTTTGAAAGGAGGAAAACTACCAATTAAGCAGCCGGCTGAGAATGAAATCTGTTTAAATGTAACCTTTATTTCAACATAATTAGACATTAAACTGTTATGTTATTATTTCACTTATTTCTTACATATTGCCCCTTTAATTAAATGATTAACTTTAGTAAAAATGAGCTAGAAATGGAAATAACAGTTTTTTCACAACACTGTTTGTGTGTTAATACCTCAGTGTGGATCCAGAACTGGTAGAGCAGATTTAATTGAATATGAACAGCAAAAACAGATGGAGGAACAGCCAAGGCCATCGGCAGGTAGAATACCTGAGATCAAACAAAACAGACACTATTAGGGATGTAAGAAAATATCGATATGGCAATATATTATGATATTTTTTCTAGCAATATTGTATCAATATTCAAAATTAGTGTATCTCATTTTTGGAAGACTTTACATGCAGACATTTGTGGATTTTCTTTTCTTTTGGTGCAATTCAAACGCTGACTGCTAGTTGGCTGCAGGGTGCAATGGGTTTTGTTTCCACCATTGAAATGTAAATCCCTCTGTTATGGTTCAGATACCTCATGTTAAACATGTTGAGTATCAGTTTGGACTGTTAATTAAATATTCCTACAATACATTCAGTGTAAAAAAATCGCTAATAACGTCTGAGTGAATGTATCGCAATATATCACGATATGTATCGAATTTCCAAAATGTCACCAATACATAACTAGTAACTTAATTTCCATTTGTTTAAAATGTTTTTTGAGTTATTTCCTTTGTAAAAGGAAAATAGATTCAAAAATGACATTTTTTACTGCAATAAATCAAATCAAAGTGGAACAAATTGTTTTCTTTATGATTTCAGTCTGATTCAATCTACTGATTAGGGGTTGCATGACTTAATTTTTTTTTAAAGTCGACCGTCAAGTAATGAAAATCGAGTCGACAACGTCATACACCTGAAGCGGCTAAAAGTGACGATGGGTGACCAAGCATTTTTTTCCGATGCACGGGGTGGTGGGGGGGGGCTTGGTTGGTTTGCTGGAGTTTTTGACAGTTAAAATTGCACCCACATTTTCTAAGTTAAACACGTCTCTTTTAGCAACGGTAGTTTCTGCTTCAGCCCTCTCCCCCCTCCCCCTGCGCAGCGTCCGCAAACTCTGATGCGCCTGCAGCCTCTCAGAGTTTCTGCTGCTCTAAATATTAAAATAATGATTTCATTTTCTGTTCCTCACTTCTGATCTTCAATGGTGTCTGTTTGTTGCAACCACCAGGTACAAAAAGGAACTTGTTTTTATTTGACTATTTTTCTGTCCTGTCTGTTTATTATCTTCTTGCATCTCCTCTCAATCCTAAAGAAAAACTGCTACCTGGGTTCTATATTCACCTCATGAGTTACCTTTGAACTGCAGTTCTAAAAGATCTACCGACCGCAAAAGCAGCGCTGTTACTCAGAGCTTTTTATTGCCAACAGATTGGGAGCTCGGGTGAGTTTACAGCAGCAGTTTGGTGTGTGTGAGGGATCGACTCAAAACAAACTACAGCATGTGTGTGATTACTGTAATGAGGGAACATGTCATCCAACGCAACAGTGTGACTCACTGATGTGTTTTTAATGGTTTGTGGACAACAGTGAAGTTTTGTGGCACGGAAGAATCAAATATACAAAGTTTTTGGCAACGCCGCCAATGTTTGTTCATGTGCTCCGTTTATTAATCATCCTCTCTTATTACTGGATGTTGCTGAGTTGTGCTTTAGGAGAACGTATATCTTACCCATGAGGCGAAGGGCTGGGTGACGGACTGTCTGAGGGCGGTGCTCAGGTTGTAGTACTCGGAACTGTGGTGAACTTGGTGAGCAGCCCAAAGGATGGCCACCTCTGGTGAAAACAATAACAAAACACAATATGATACACTGAAAAAGCAACATGGATGCTATTGCATCATTCACACTCGAAGGGATGACGGGTATGGAAGAAAAAGTCTCACCAGAATTCGATTTTTTTTTTACGCACTGAAATTATGACACTAAATTTTTCTTTTCTGAATTCATGCAAAAACATTTTTTACTTAAAATACACCAGCAACTGCAGAATTTAATCTTCAAAAACAGAATTTTTACAACAAAATTTTCTTTTGAAAAATTCAACAGCAGAATTTAGACAGGAAAAATTTTACAAATGCGATGACCTCCTGGTGACCCAAACCAAAGCAATCGTAACATGATCGAGTCAACACCTCACTGGTGTCACGTGATCAGAGAGGCGTAAATTTGATTGGCTAAAAGCAACTCGGCCCACTCAGGTGTCGATTACATTGGCTTGGGTCACCAGGAGTTCACCTCAGTTGATTAACTTTTGCTGTTGAATTGCTGATGTAGAATTTTTGAAGAAATTGCCTTTTTAGCAACGGAACAGCACTGATGTGAGAGGTTTGTGGCTAAATATCATAGGAGAAACAGCCAGCTGCTACCACCTCAACTTTAGGACAAACTACCAGAGTCCTAAAAAGAAAAACACCATTTGAAGTCTCGGACAACAGAAGACATTCGAACAAGGTTTATTTATTGACATACTTTTGACATCATTAAAACAAAACAGAAAAATACAACAAAAATCCCACACCTCCCCCTCACCCCACCTGGATGGAATGGAGTCAGTCATGTTGATGTTAGCCAATCAGAGGCAAGGTCTCCAAATATCAGAAAAAAAGACTCCAAATCCTTTTGTGTTTAGCTCAACTGGTGAATTTTAAGTAAACAACAAAATATTTAATTTCACAGAATAAAAATTCTATTTCATAAATTGAATGTTTAAAAATATGACATATTATAGTGAGACTGTATTTCTTCCATAGATGGCAGCCATTTAAACTTCCACACAAGAATCATGAACAGGCTTTAACCCTCTCAGAATCAAAATAAGTTTTGATAAAAGGACGAACAACTATGTCCTTCAGGGGTACTTCTGAGTTAAAAAAAAATGCTCATGAAATATGTATGTGGAGTAACCAGGTAGGTAGGTTTGAACTGTTGCAAATCTGCAATGCCTGCCTCCAGAGGGTTAAAATTCTAGAAGTGACTTATTCCAGCAGCCAGCTCAGCTCCTTCCCTAAATGAGAAATTATACACCTCCGTCCACAGAAAGAGTGGTTCTAGCAACACTTTCGGCCAGCCGTGCTGAAAACCCAAAGCTGCAGACTAGCTGGCCGTGGCGGTGCCTGTGGGTTATGACTACAGGGGTATTTGGCTGCAGTTGGTCAGCATCCAACCTGATGTCCCAGAGCTCCAGTTTACATTCTTCTGCTGTGTTGTGATACTTGCTACATTAATATATGTGTTACAGTCCATTTTAACATCCAAAGGGAACATGACTGTTAAGTTTCACTGGATCTCTGGGCCGTTTCCGGACCACCCCGACGGGTCTGTGCTTTTTGGCACCTTCCATACACTTATGCTTCTGCTGCTGTATAAGAATGAAATGAAACCTTTAAATACTGCCGAACCACAAAGTCCAATATTCAGTGGACCATACATTTTAAGACCTTCACAATAAAGGCAGCCAGTTGTTAAATGAGCTTTACACATTAGCTCTGAAGAGCAAATGTTAAGATTAAGAGAAAATTGAATCGGAGGTATTAATCAAACTAAAGACGAAGTTATGATAAAGTTTACTTTTATGAGACGCAGCTTATAGCACTTGAATTTTAAACAAAAAATTTCCATCCATCAATTTTTTCTTCTGCTTATCTGAGGGGTAAGCCTCACATCCCTCTGGTCAGCTCTATCCACCAGCTCCTTCCTTTCATGTTTGACTTCCTGTTTAGCGTAATCTGAACTGCTTAGGTTAACGTGAACCTATGCTTGAGGGATACTTCTAAAATGTAATGCTTCGCGGCCGGGAGAAACACACCCATCCACTATCACAGTGGCTAATTGTTGTGAACTACACTTCACAGATGTTATGTGATGCTTACATGTACAGCGGAGAGGCCAGGTAAGGCTGAACCCAGCCACCCTACAGAGCAAGCTAATTTCGGCCGCTAGTATCCAGGATATCATTCTTTCCCTCATGATGCTCACGGTCACAGGTGACGGGTGGAACATAGATGGACATGTACTAGGAGCTTTGAACTTTGAGGAAATCTATCTGGTATCTTTCTCAATTTAGTTTCAGTGTGAAAACTACGAAGAGGAGGGTGATGAAAATTAAAGTTTCAAATAAACAAACCACCTTTTTCTACTGCAAAAAAACAGTGTGTAACGAAACCGGGAGCAATTCTGACGCAAAATAGGAGCGAAAGCAATCCACACAGCTGATCCCATAAGGTCATAAAATCACAGGTGAATTGCAACACCACATGTGACTTCAGAAGTCCTCACAATAACAAGCAAGGGGAAAAACAGCTGCATGTATCCAAAAAGATATGAGGCTTTTTTCTGCTCTGTTTACATCTGCTATAGGGTTTTAACAGGAAATGGCGCATGTTTACCTGCACGTGACTTTTATTTAGAAAGTTTTCAGATGTTTTATACAGCTTTTGTGTTTGACTTCCTTTCTGGTTAGATATAAACTGCGGAGTTTCAGGTGTTTTGGAAGCGTAGAGCGTAAAACATAGACTCAGAATGTAATGATAGCATCCCCTTGCTTCTGGGACGTGTCCAAAATGTTACAATTATCTGCCGGTGGAAAGGACGTTGTTCACTGTAACGGTGGCTAATTGCAGCGTAGTACGTCCACGGCTGTATTGCAATGCTTTCACGTCCAGTGGAAAGAAGGGGTTAGATGTAAAAGCAGAAACTGTTTTTTTATCCAATATCATTGTGTAGAAGCTATGATAAATATTTAATACACCCTAATGTGTTGGCTTTGCACCAAAAATGTTTCATAAAACAAACAACAAATAAGCACTCAACATTACAACCAGACAAAAGAAATTTAGGTGTCAAAAGTCACAACTTTCACTCTCTTTAATAGACCTGGGAACGAAATCACGTGCTAGGGTTGTAAAACTCCAGTGCTCGCTGACACCTGAACAAACACGCTGCTGAGCACTGAAGGTGAGTTTTGTGAAAGTAGAGAAGAAAATGGGCTGCATTTGTGTAGCAGAAGTGTCACATGAATCTGTTCACTGTTATAACAAGTAAAGCTGAGGCGAAATTCCTCAAGTGTTTGGGAAACCCCAAATGAAAACTACGAATGCTTCGGCATTAGGATGAAGCACAGTCCTTATTTCACAGTGGGAAGGTTGAATTTTTACTGGTGTGAAAGAGTAAAAGTCGGATTGTTTTAGAAGCGTTACAAATAGTTAAGTCTTTTCTCTCTTTTACTTTTGGCTGGGTTGATTAAATGTGGAAGGATTGAATTATGTTTAAAACTTTATTGGATCTTTCACTGCTGACAAAAATCATGAGTGATCAGGGAGGAGGGGTGTCAACTGACTAACTACAGCAGCCAAGCGCAGAAATTATGGCATTTCTTCCGCTCTGAACCGTGGGGGATTCAAAGATGAATTGTGCTGCTATGGGACATATTGAGAGGATAATCCAGTCTTTGTTTAATTTCAGCAGCCTACGGCATTTGCAATTTTTCTTCTCACTGGAGTCATGCTTGGCAGGGTCCAGGACTAAGGGCGGCTAAGATTGATGCTTGTTGTCACTGATAGGAAGTCAGAGCTGCTAGGCTTCACTGCAGGTCCATGTCCTCATCTCTGGACTCGGCGGGACACTGCATAGTTTGGCAGGGATAATTCAGGAGGGAAGCCCTGTTGATGGTGAGAACTAATGCCACAGAGTCTGCATTCCCAGCAAGAACAAAGTAATGCTAAAGACGGTACTTCCATCAGGTCACCAGTGAGCTAAACTTGTGATTTCTGAGGAATAACATGGATGAGTGCATGCTAATCAGGGGAAGGACATTTATAGTGCCTTATAAAACGCCAAAGAAAATATCGGTTGACTGCTAGTCACATCTCAGCATAAGTTAAAGATGCTGCAGAAATCCCAGCTCAAACTGCAGGTTTCAGAAAGAACCGAGACATTGTATAACAGTTAAACGTCACCCAGCCTTTACACTGGATGTGTAAGCGGCACGTAATATAATAGACATGTTTTACCAACTAGCTCCCTTCCCACTGGGAGTGCTTCAGACGCAAAACGACAGCGAAAATATTCCATGCAGAAGATCACAACATGAACGGAGAACTACAACACCAAGCGTGATTTCAGCAGACGACACGATAAAAAGAAGAAAAGTCACAGCATCTATCCAAGAATGTCTGTGGCAGTTCTCGAAGTGCATACAAGCTTCCAGGGGAGCCCTGTGCCAATGCTGTTAGAGCGCTAGGTGAGTTCATAATCTGAACCCTGATTTGTGGTTTATTTTCTGTTCTGTTTACCTCGGGTGCGGATATTTCACTGGTAATGATGTATTTTTTTTTTATGATCAGAATCAGAATCACTTTATTGTCACTAAACAAGCATCCTAGTACATCAAAACTACATAAACACTAGTAAAGTAACTGAAAATCTGCACAAGACTTTTATTTAGAAAGTTTCCAGATGTTTTACACTGCTTTTGTGTTTGACTTCCTGTCTGGCCTAATCTGAACTGTGGGCTGGGGTGCGTTCTGGAAGCATAGCAGGTATAAAATAGCCTTAAAGTGTGAGCAACACGTCCCTATGCTTCTGGAAAGTTTCCAAAACATTATGCTTCGCGGCCTGTGGAAACATACTCCTTCACTATAGCGGTTTGTTATTGCTTACTACAATTTACAGAAGTTATGTGAAGCTTACGCGGATGTTACGTGACAAGCCCAGTCATGGGGCTGGGCAATATGGATTAAGATCAATATCACGATATATTTAGAAATTCACCTCGAT